CTCTGCCTAATTTGGCACACCTGTGTTTTATGAACTGAAGTTAGGGCTGACCTGATCTTTCCTGCCATTTGTAAATACACAGCACCTCCTACAGGAATTAAATTGCTGGTGTGAAATTACATCAAACATTAGGCCAGAAAAAAGGGTTGTATGTGTTTTTAAAAAATGTCTCCTAAGGAGGCTTTCTGCTCCCGTAAAGATTTACAGCCTCGGAAACCATGTACAGGGAGGGCCGCTATGAGTCAGAACAGACTCCACGGCACATAACAACAACAACAGCAAGGAGTCTTTGAGGCGAGTTAGACTGCTAACCATAAGATCAGAAATTTGAATCTACCAGCCACTCTCAGGGAGAAAGATAAGGCTTTCTGCTCCCATAAAGATGTTCAGCCTCGGAAATCCTATCCAGGGTCACTATGAGTCCGAAGTGACTCAATGGCATACCACTATCACAGTGCCTCCAAGTGTAATTCTAGACCCATGGGCCTATGAACCATCACTAGGTCTACCCAAATTACTTTAAAAGGCCTTCTCTGTGCCAGGAGTGGGAGTCCAGCTGTGGCGCTGTGGGTTAAGGTACCAGACTGCAAAGCCGTTTGAAGTGCAAGGTCGGCAGTTCAAGCTCACCAGCTGCTTCTTGGAAACCCTATACAGGGTCGCTATGGGTCGGAACCGACTTGACGGCACTTAACAACATGCCAGGAGTGGGAGGGAAGGGACAGTTGTCCCTGGCTAGAGCATTGTTGTTGTTAAATGCCATCGAGTCAGTTCTGATACATAGCAACCCTGTATAGGGTTTCAAAGGTGCAGCTGTTGAGTTTGAACTGCCAATCTTGTGGCTTAAGCCAACCTTGCAGCCCAGTGCTTATCCTACAGCGCCACACCAGTACTTCAGAATATATACATATCCTACAGAATATGAGTTTGAATGATATTGGTACATGAATATTTCTCTTTCCTGCCAACACTACTGTGAATGTGGTAGAGCAAACAGTGGGCAAAATGATGAAAACTTTTAAAGATATTATCAAACATCTTAAGGCAATGAGTAGCTGAGCCTAATGGCTCAGGAAAATAGTGTCAGGTCCCCACACCATGGTTAATTTGCATAGTCCACAAAGACAATGTTCTATATCTTATTTTGGTGAATAGTATTTGGGATATTAAAAGCTCATGAGCAGCTATTGGTGTCTCCATGTTCAGAAGTCAGAAGAGTGATAAGAATTCAAGATGCTTGGAATCAGTTGCTTGGAATTTCACAAGCAAAGTTAGTCCAATGGACTAATGGAACATGTGAACATCAGTCTGTATGACTCTGAAACCAAAAGAACTAGATGGTGACCCAGCTACCACTACCAACTGTTCTGAAAGGGATCATATTAGAAGGTCCCGGATACAGCAGTGGAATGTGTGGAAAACTCAAAATTAATTAAAATAAATAAATAAAAGACTGGGCTTACTGGTCAGAACCTGATACTATGGCCCTCAACCACCCTTCAAATCTATAACTCACCCTTGTGGCCCAACTTTCAGTCAAGCAGTAGATTTGTATGTAGGGAGGACAATATCATTAATAAGGTACGCTTGCTATGGATGATGGAGCCGTAAGTCATTCAAAATCAAAGGGGCACCATGTACCTAAGGACAAAGGTGAGAAGGCATAGGAAGGTGGGTGGAAGGGAAGTAAGAACCACAGGGAGGAAGCGAGATAACTGTTGTGTGGAAGGGATTGAATGTAAAACTGATGATCTAGTCTGTAAACCTTCACTCAACTCACAATAAAAAGTTAAAAATACTTAGAAAACAGACCTTCTCTACCAAGGATAAGGAGTCCTGGTAGCATAATGGGTTACAAGTTGGGCTGCTAACCACACGGTCAGCAGTTCGAATCTACCTGTCGCTCCATGGGAGAAACAAGAGGCTTTTTGTTCCTGGAAAGATTTACAGCCGTAGAAACCCTATACAGGGTTGCTATGAGTTGGAACTGACTCCACAGCACACAACCATCACCAAACCCACTACGGGTAGAGGGATAGCAAATATTAGACTTTTTTCCTGTGGTTTTCTAAAAATTGTTAACTGTTGAAGACTTTGGGTTCTTGAATCTTAGAATAATTAAACTTGGAGAATTTTTCTTTGGATTTCAATACATATAAGTGGAGAATATCTCCACTTACCACTGGACTTCTGGTGTGGTGCTGTAGGATTCACACTGGATAGCAAACCATAAGACTGGCAGTTCAAACCCACCAACTGCTCCTTGGAAACCCTATACAGGGTTGCTATGAGTAGGAACTGACTCGACGGTACTTAAGAACAACATATATTGCTAGGCATTCTTTTTTTCTTAAGAGGTTCATCTTTCCCATTTTAAACTTGGATTTCACAAGCAAAAGAGTTTGAAGTCTTTCTCACATTTTTATAAATAACTTCCAAGTTCTGCCCAAATCATTAGAATCTGTCAAACAAGTAAGGTGAGCCTCTTGAAAACGTTTTCTCACCATGTCATGACTGTGTGTGAAAATACTTCCCTTGCAGAGTAAGAATGAAAGGTGATCCCAGAACTGTCTAGCACCCCTGCATGACTAAGAGCCAAACAGTAAACCAAGTTTCCAAATCTGTTTGGGAGTTTCCTCACCATTAGGTGGGTAAGCATAAGAGTTCCTGGTAGCACTTTAGAGGGTCTCTCACGTTTAACACTGAAGGAAAACTCAATCAAAGATTTAAAAAAATTTTAAAGGCAACTAAAAAAGTTAAAAGCAGACCATACTTTTGTGACCACCACATCAGAAATGTGTGAGAAATGATCGGATATTTCTTTAATTCATTTTAAATTACAGGATGCATTTCAGAGTTTCTCTTCATGAGTATTGTATTGGTTTAGAAACTTTTTAAGGCAGTTAAGTACTGCATAGGTTTTGACATTACTAAAATTATAAAGTCTAAAAAGGCATAAGGTAGAAAATAATCACAACACTGATGAGCTCAAGGTATAAATTAGCAGTCTTTATCAATTTCAAATGCATGCTTCTTTTAAGGAAAGGAAAGGGATCTTTGAGGAGCACTTTCAGTTACTGAATAATACTGTAGGAAAAATTCAAGTTCCTTTCTCTGCCACCTTCTTCCTCCTCTTAAAAAGTCTAAATGAAAGGATTGCATTTCAGTTACCTTATTCTAAATCAGGGGACATTTGTTTTGTGTGTGGGCATAACTGACATGTTGTTGTTGTTTGGTGCCATTGAGTTGGTACCGACTCAGCGTCCCTATGCACAACAGAACGAAACACTGCCCAATCCCAGGCCAACCTCTCAATTGTTACCACACTTGAGCCCATTGATGCTGCCACTTTGCCAATCCATCTCTCTGGGGGTCTTCCTCTTTTCTCTGACCTTCCACCTTACCAAACATGATATCCTTCTCTAGCGACTGGTCCCTCCTGACAATATGTCTGAAGTATGAGAGACGAAGTTTGGCCATCCTGGCCTCCAAGGAGCACTCTGGCTGCACTTCTTCCAAAACAGATCTATTGGTTCTTTTGGTAGCCCATGGCACTTTAAGTATTCTCCTCCAACACCATAACTCAAAAGCATCAATTCTTCTATGGTCTTCTACAGTTCAAATATTGATTAGATGATTTTTATGGTTCAAAGTTACAATTTCATAATTTCTATAAGCATGTAAATTTATTTAAAACAAGAATTGAGTTAAGCCATTCTATGTCAATTTTGGCTTAATTCAATTCTTGTTTTAAATAAATTTACATGCTTATAGAAATTAAGAAATTGTAACTTCCAACCATAAAAGTCATCTAATCAATATTTGAACTGTATTTAATTACAGATGCTTTTAAAATGTAGCACCCTGATAAAAATATGTGTGTGTCCATGATGTAAAGTATATGGATTTTATTTTTTGGAATTGCAGGTTACTTTTGATTGGCATCAAATATCTATTTTTTTCTACAGTTTTCCCATTGAAACACACGGCACATTTACAGCTAAATTTAAATAGAACTTATATACTTATAGTCATGAAATACATTTAAATAGTGTGCATTATTCCATTTATCACATTATATAAATGCTTAACCTTTAGAAGTAAAATATTAATAGCTATATGCCAGTACTAGAAAGGCCATCTGTGGTAGGCCGAATAATGGTCCCTCAAAGATGTCCACATCCTTATCTGGAACTTGAATATGATACATTACATGGGAAAGGGGGATTAAAGTTGCAGATGGAAGTAAGGTTACTAATCAGTTGATCTAAAATAGATTATTTTGTATTCTCTGGGTGGATCCAATATAATTTATCACAAAGTCCTTAAAAACGGAAGAGGAGTGCAGAAGGTCAGAGTGTTAGAGTAAGTAGATGTAAGGAGGATTTGACTCTTCTGTCAGCTTTGAAGACGTAAGAAGGAGCCAGGAGCCAAGGAGTGTGGGCAGCCTCCGAAAGCTAGAACAGGTAAGGAAACAGATTTTCCCCTAGAGTCTCCTGAAAGAACACAGCCCTGCCAAAACCAATTCTTGCTTGATTCACACTAGTGAATTTCAACAATGATTACACTTCACTTCAAGCAAATTTAAATCTTAAAATAACAAATCTAAATTAAAAAAATAAAAATTGAATTATATCCATCCAACATACTGTCATTCCTTTAATGATGTTTCAGAACAAAGAAAATAACACACAACTTTATGGGGTTTTTGAGTATAGGGCACAAGAAACATATACCAACAGAAAATATTTCTACAACCCCAAAACAGAGATTACTTACAAATACTTGCAAAATGCATTCTTATGGTATTCATGGGTTTTTAATCTGAAATGGCAGCTTACAGAGATGGAAGGTTAAAATAGAGCTTTTTTTTTTTTTTTTTTTAATAATTAGAAAGACAGTAACTTAGCCCTTACTGAAAATATTCAATAAGAAAGTAGAAATACTTTTATTCCCAGGTAAAATCACTTATAGTCTCTTGTTGTTTTCTCTCTGCTTCTGCTTCATTCTCTTTGTGTCACTTTAGTTTGCTTCTCTCCAGAGTTCTGTCTCTGCATTTTCTCTCCTCTGTTTTTATCTGTGCCACAACATCTGCTGTCATTTCTTCTAACTTGCTCTTTTCGCTGGGGCTTCGCTGTGTCAGTTTTCTACCCTCCCTCTGTTTGTAGCTACCGTGACTTCTGTTTTGGCTTCTCCTACTCCTCTCGTCTCTGCTGTGGCTTCTGCTACTCCTCCTGTTTCTTTCCGATCCTCTCTTCTTTGGGCTATCATGATGGATGTTGGACTTTTTGTCATAATCAGAATGGCTCCATTTATAATTCTTCCTAGAACTCTCTTGCTTTAAAAACCTAGGCTTGTCCCTGACTTTCTCCTTGTTACTGTGACTGCTAGAAAGTTCCTCATAAAGTTTTCTCTTCTTAGACTTGTCTTTCTCTTCAAAATCACTGCTGTTATACCCTGAACTTTTATTTTTCTTCCTTTTCTTCTTTTGTATTTTTTTTTCTTTATTGTCACTTTCACTCTCACTGCTGCTTTCTGATGTCTCACTGGAGGAGGAAGAGGAGGATGAGGAGGAGGAAGAAGACGATGAGGAGGAGGAGGAAGATGAAGAGGAGGAGGAAGATGAAGAGGAGGAGGAGGATTTGTTTTTATGTTTTTTATGTTTACTTCTGCTCTTCTGAGGCTTTTTATTTTTTCTATCTTTTTTCCTTTTCTTCTTTTTCTTTTCAAGTCGGTCCAATTTCCTGTAATTGGGAAAAAATAGCAACAGATATAATTGTGTAAAATAATAGTCCTTTACATGAACAATACAATTACAAATCAATAACATACTTTCTTAGAAGCTATTAAAAGTGGTTTCCAAATATAAGTACATTATTTAATCTATGACATGACAAATATTTTTCTTCCTTTCACATTATTCTTGCTAAATAATAAAAACTTAAATGCAGTAAGCCAGTTTTCTAACTTTTCTCAATAATAATTACCTTAACAAAACAAAACATTGTAAGTGACTCATAATTTGAAATTACAGGGTACTCATCCTGACCTACAGAGAACCTGTGAAAAGTTGCAGCATTAGTTGGATTTACAGAAAACTCAAATATAGAGCTATAATCAGATGAAAAAGCCAATTTCATACATGTATTATGTTCGGAACCGACTCGATGGCACATAACAACAACAACAACATTATGTTAAAATACAGAAATATTAGTCAACATTAATTACATTACCAAAATTTAAAGTCATGCATATTGCCCAGAAATTCTGACTATGAATATATTTAACAATTTTTGGATATTCTCTTTTGGTTATATAAAATAAAACAATCATAAGCTCATTATCAATAATTATTTAGTTTTATAAGTAATTAGGATCATTTTATTAAGGCATTCTGAATTTTAAAAAGACTAGGCCACATTCTCAGAAAAGTATTGTGTTTATATGATACATCTGAGTTACAAGTGCCTTCACTAGGTTCAGACTCCTTAAAGGGAAAGGAAGGTAATACCAGGCATTCTCAAAATGCTACATACTGAAAACACCAAGAGCGCCCTCTATTGGGTTTAGCAAACATTTCTTGGATTCTTTATTCCAGAAGTAGTCTGTTGAGCAAAGTTCATATTACCTTAGATTGAAGTATTTTTTCATATTCAGTGTAAAACTTTACAAAATGGAAACAGTAATACATGCCCAAAAAATATTCTAAGAAGAAACCGTGTAAAGATATATCCACAAATCTATTATGTAAAGTGAGCCCAGGAGAAGCACTGGACTTCTTGTGTGAATATCAACTCGACAGCACCTAACAACCAAAAATCTAATCCCAAATCAAATGTTTTGAAAAGTGCAATGACTTTATGATAAACCTGCATGTGCAATCTTATAACTCATTTCTTCATAACTGAAATAAAGACAAAATCGCTTCTTGGAAACCCTATACTGGGTCACTATGGGGTAGAACCGACTCAGTGGCACTAAGCAAACAACAAAAGCTGATGAACAAATCGATATAGGTGATGGATGCATTACAATTTTAGCTCTTAGAAGCTGAGCTGAATATGATACTAAGAAGAAACACAGAAAGAAATGTAGTTGAATTTATTGAATATATACTGCTTAATTACCTGAGAAGTTTCTGTTTTTGTTTGGTTGTTAATGACTTTAAAAATTCCACTTCTGGATCTTCTTCACCTTCACTCGCAACATACTCCTGAGTCACCAAAGAAAGTAGTAAATTGCTAGGTTTTAAGATGCTATTTATCAGACAGCAAAGAAAACATTTACAAACAAGTTTTTGTATTAGGGACACACTACAGATGGATATCATATTCTGGATTGGGTAGCAGGAGAGAATTAAAAACATTTTAAAAAATTGTCTACCTGTCAAGGGAGATTATAGTGTACTAAAAGGTGGAGATGAATGCTTGATCAGCAACAGGAAACTTTATCAGGAAGAGAATGACTGGGGGGCACTGGTAAGATGCTTACAGGAAAACTGCAGCTCTCTATGGCTAGTCTTTAAGGTTAAATCATTTTAAACACTTGTATAAATATTTTATTTATAATTTGGTGAATATAAAACCAAGATCATGAATCTTACAGGAAGGTAAAAATATCTATACTTTTAGCCTTTATATTTTCAACAGCAATCACCAAATATATGATAATGTGTGAACAATCCCTTACAACGTAAGAAAAGTTATGCACCTTTTTTCAGAGCTGTACAAATTTATGCCAGTGAGAGTCTGAGTTTTGGTCTCAGTTTTGTGTCTAAATAGCCACATGACCATATGAAACTAATGTAACTTCTTCTGGGGTTTAGTTTCCAATTAAATAAAAGAAATGGTTTACATTAGAACACAGACATTCAAATACAGTCTTTCAAAATCAATCATGTTCTGGAGCTTTACATAGTTCAGTAAGTTAAGATAGTTAACCAGTGTTAGGGGTTTGTTTTATATACTTCTTTCCATTGGTTCTATTCAATGTCACCTCAGGCATAAGTTAGCAGGAAGAAAAAACTCTACCACCAGTTCAGTTAGATATTTTATCCACATAAACCCAGAGGAGTCGTTTCATTTATTAAAATACAGGTTTAAAAACAATTGATCATTTAGGTTAAAATAATAAAGAATCAAAATCAAAATACATTTTAGGCATTTTCTTTCCTCTATCTTGCTTTCCTATGGATATGCATATTGGAAAACATTAAGTAGCAATTCACAAGCAATCACATTTAGATTTATAGACATTTTCAGCTTACTGATAAAAAGATCATTACCTGTGATGGATCATTTGCGGTCAAGTTTCTCCCCAGTACATTCCGTTTCAGTGCAAACCCACTGTTTCTCATCTCCGCTATTAGCTCCGAGGGGTGCATCGATGGCCCTGTTCACAAAAATCACAGTTTGAATGTATCATTTATATCTCTCTACCTTTTTCGGACTCCACAGTAGGAATGCAGTTGAAGCTTTGTTAAGTAAAATCACAGCTAAATCAACTCAATAATCTTCTGCTGAGCAAATAATCAGATATGATTTTCTAAAACAGCAGTGTGGAGATTCAGAATAGAAAATAATTGCATTTTTCTTTGCGTGCAAGGGGATTCTCTTCTTATGTAACTTTGCCATATTGAAAAAGATACATTTAGATATTGTCTGGTTGGCAGCTTTTTGTATAAAATCAAAGCAAAATGATTTTTAAAACTACAATTAAACTTTTAATAAGCATTCTCTCAAGAGTTCAATTTAAAAGAGATAGTTTATAATTCTAGCTTCCAATTAAAAATTCCTCACCATTATTTATCAAATAGAGTACTCGTGTGACACTATGGGATAAGCACTGGATTGTTAACCTCAAGGTTGATGGTTCAAACCCACCAGATGCTCTTTGGAAACCCTATACATGGTTGCTATGAGTCAGAACTAGCTCAATGACACTTAACAACAAGAACATTTATCAAATACCAACACTAAATATACAAGGGGGCCTCAAAGAGTTTCTGGAAAAATTCCACTATCTTTTCATTCCACTTTTTCCATGACCTTTTTGAAGCCACCTTGTATTGACATGAGGTGATCAACAACATACACAGAAAATTCCACAAGTAACCATCAAGTACTTGAATCTTTCTCTCTCACATACATACAAACAAAGGCAAATTTAAACAATTTTTAGTTACTAGTTTTGGATTGGTGACAAGCAATTTTAGGTTGGCTATAGGTATATGTGCTATATTTTTATAAGCTGCTGTTTCCACTTTGACAAAATCCCAAACTGCTTTTGTTTTCCTTACAGGAAGCAAACTATTGGCAACTTTTCAAAGCAGCTACAGTTTCTGGCCTAAATCATGTACACTGACTTGAAAGAGCTCCTACTGGATGATGTACCTGGAATAAGAATGAAATTGTCCACAAGGAATTTATGACTGAGGTGTGGGACAAAAACTGGTTCTCGTTTGTTGCTTAAATGTTTCTTTTATTTTTCTTTTCACTACTTTCTTGGTCTTTTACCACTTACTTGTATGGTCATCTACATGTTGTCATGGAAAGCAAAAGACAATTGAATTCAAATCAGTTCATTTGTGAATAGCAGCTTTGGTAAAAAGTTTGATGGGAAAACCTCAGATGCAGGTTCTCTGGGCTTTACCATCTGTTCATGCTACCACAATCAACTGCAAGTTGGCTTTAGGAGTTAGTGAGATGACAGGGGAAACTCTCTACCATAGGTCTATGAGGGAGCTATTCATAATGTGATGCTTCAATTTACAAGGGAAAAAAGCCCTAATTGACAACAAAACAAAATTGTAAGGTACCATCTTTGCTTCATTATAATACTAATATTTTATTTAAAACAATGTAAAAATTTTTACCTTCTACATTAAGATACTTAATTCTTAATGGAATACTTACAATGTGGTTGCTAATATTGATGATAAAACCTTAAATAAAAGTTAAATATTAACAATAGTTGTCTTTAACTGGCATAAAAGTACAGATATAATTTATAGCCTTAAATGAGCAACAGAATGTAGTTCAATGTACTGTTTAGGGACTTTTCAAATTTCAGATGTAGAAACATAATTTTATAAAGTATAATTTATAATCTTAATGAAAAATAATTTATAGCCTTAAATGAGCAACAGAATGTAGTTCGATGTACTTTTTAGTAACTTTTCAAATTTCGGATGTAGAAACATAATTTTATAAAGTAGAAAATTTCTTCTGAAATGTCAAAACTGTACATCCTTGTCAACAACTTTATTAGATGTCAAATGAATTCAGAAAACAAACATGTTAAGAATTAGGATAAAAACCACTCCAGTGATGGGACAAAAAACTTGTCTATTATGATGAGAGGTTACTAATTTCATCAAAAGAAGAGTAATTTGATAAGATGTTTTAGAAAACATGGTTTTTACATTTTTGTTACAGTACTTCCAGCTATTTTAAGAAAAAATGATCCCTTTAATGAAACAAACATTACCCTTCTAGCACTTATATTTCCCGAAAGCCCTAACTAACTTTTTTGTGGAGTACATACACTTTGTATACACGTCCATACGGCAGGCCTGTAAATAGGGAAGTGTCTGGTAAACAGTACTCAATATATCACTGCTGTTGTTGTTAAGTGCCATCCAGTCAGTTCTGATTCAGTGACCCTGTACAGGGTTTCTGAGGAGTGGCTGGTGGGTTTGAACTGCCGATCTTGTGGTGAGCAGTCCAGTACTTATCCTATAGTGCCACACTAGAAGTCTTCAGTAAGTAGTAGTTGTTGTTAAGTGCTCTTAAGTGGGTTCCAACTCATAGTGACCCTATAGAGGGTTTCCAAGGAGCAGCTGGTGGGTTTCACTGTAGACCCTGTGGTAACAATTGTTATTTTTACCAATAGCTTTATAGACTGTATCATTGGCTCTTCATCATATGCTACCTCTTGAAATGGTTGAATATTGGCCATTTCTTTTTGATACAGTGACTCTGGGTATTCCTTCCATCTTCTTTTGATGTTTTCTACATCATTCAGTATTTTATCCATAGAAATTGGTCAAAATTCCAAGTTGATGCTTGAATTTTTTCTTCGGTTCCCTCAGCTTGAGAAATGCTTAACGTGTTCTTCCCTTTTGGTTTTCTAACTCCAGGTTTTTGTACATTTCATTAAGTCTTCACTTTGTTTTCTTGAGCTGACCTTTGAAATTTTCTATATTCAGCTTTTACTTCCTCATTTCTTCCATGTACTTTAGCCTCTCACACTGAAGAGCAGGTTTCCGAGTCTCTTTTGACATCCATTTTGGTCTTTTCCTTCTTTCTTATCTTCTTAATGAACTTTTGCTTTCTTATTGTATGATATTCTTGATGTTATCCCACAACTCTTCTGATCTTGAGTCTTTAGTGTCTAATGCATCAAATCTGTTTGTAAGATGATCTCTAAATTCAGGTGGAATATGTTCAAAGTCCTATTTTGGCTCTTGTGGACTTGGGTTGCACCTCAATGTAAAAGAAAACAAAACTCTCCACTATTGGACCAATAAATAACAACAAGATAATGAAGAACAGACTGAAACTGTCAAAGATTTCATTTTGCTTGAATCAATCATCAACACTCACGGAAATGGCAGTCAAGAAATCAATTGACATACTGCAGTAGGTAAATCTGAGGCACACGACCTCTTTAAAGTGTTCAAGAGCAAAGACATCAGTTTAGGACTAAGGTGTGCCTGCCCAAGCTATTTTCAGTAACATTATTATGTAGTGGTTACGAATCAGGCTGCGAACCTTAAGGACAACAGTTCGAAATTACCAGCTGTTCCACAGGAGAAAGATGAGGTTTTCTGCACCCGTAAAGATTTACAGCCTTGGAAATCCTGTACAAGGTCACTATGAGTCAGAACCAACTCCATGGCACATAACCACCACCACCAGATGCATGCGAAAGTTGGGACCGTGATAAACAAGATCGTGAAGAATTGACAGCATTTGAGTTATGGTGCTAGAGGAGAATATTGAAAATACCATGGACTGCCAAAAGAACAAACAAAGCTGTGTTGGAAGAAGTATAGTCAGAGTGCTTCTTAGAAGACAAGACAGCCAGAATAATCTCTCATACTTCAGACACTTGAGGAGGGACCAGTCCCTGAAGAAGGGCATTATGCTTGCTAAAGTAGAGGCTCAGAAAAAAAAAAGACCCTCAAGAGATGGAATGACACAGTGTCAACAGCAATGGGCTCTAACATAGCAAAGATTATTAGGTTGGTACAGGACCACGTAGTTTTTTGTTCTGTTGTGTAAAGAGTCAGTATAAGTCAGTATCAACTCGATGGACCTAACAAAAACAACAATATAGACTGTTCTTTATAAATTCTTCATAATTTAAGTGCTCATCTTACTAACATTTTTTCAGAATACTCTTAGTCATGTATTTTTGTACGTAAAAAAGTTTTTAGACGATGTGATCATCAGATTCTGATACATTTAGCAAGATAGGCTTATACTTTCATGTTACTGCAACTGTGGCTATGTAGCTAAATTACCAGAAATGACTAGTTCTGTGAGAATTTAAAATTTAGTTGATCTGATAAATTGTGCAGCTACGTTGATAAAACCAATTTACAATGTTGCTGTTATGCGCTGTCGAGTCAGTTCCAACTCATAGTGACCCTGTATAGGGTTTCTGAGGAGCAACTGGTGAGCCTGAACCGCCAACTTTGTGGTTCAAACCGACCTTGTGGTCCTGCACTTTATCCTACAGTGCCACACCAGGACTCCGTGTCCTGATTAGTCCCAGACTATTTTCTACTAAAAAATACTACCATGAAGTCAGTCTGTGTCTCAGAACACAAAAAAAAGACTTTGCCAGAAGGCAAAGTTCAAAATATACTTGTAAATGGTCTGCTGTATTTATTTAGGACATTGATTTTTATTGATCAAAACAAAAAGCAATGGCAAGTTAGAAAAAAAAAAAAAAGTTCTGTGGTAAAATAGGTATTTTATCACAAAATAACATATGCAGTCAACAGTTGCAGCTATGAGAAAAGTCTGCTTCTGACTACAAATAGAGAAGAATAAGCCCAGGGTGAAATGCCACAAACAGCATGATGACGAGTGTTGAAGGCAAAGATACCTGTGTTTACTGTTAGTCACTAGGCCCATCTGCTCTTCCCAAGGTCAGGTCTATTTTCCATTCCAAGTTCACCATTTTTTCCAAATGATGTTCTATATTCTGTAACTTTATGATACTAAGAAGGCGAGGTCGACGGTTCGAACCCACCAGCTTCTCAGTTGGAGGAAGATGATGTTTTCTGTTCCCGTAAAGATTTACAGCCTCGGAAATCCTACACAGGGCTGCTGTGAGTCAGAACCAACTCAAAAGCACTTAACAACAGGTAGGAGAGG